GCTGATATAAGTATGATAATCTGCCGGTTTGTACTAGGTGGGTTAGTTATAAAGGACTCTGGCTGTATCTCGGCAACCCGTCAACCTAGAGCTATCTACATATAACAAAAGTGGTAAAAAGCAGTTGCTCAAGATTATTTTCTTTAAATCCTAAAGTGGCCGCTAGAGGGTGTAACTGTACCATCAAAACCAGATATGCCGTTTTTCCGAAAACTTTGGATGCAATGGTTTATTATTTTTTATTATTCCGGAATAACCTGAAAAATCCTCCAAACCAGTGAAAACCGCATGTCATTACCTTCATTCCTTATAATTTTTTGTGCAAGTTTGTGACCAACCCACTCTTCTACGTCACACTCCAATCGTCAGATTATTGTAATAGACACTTTTCAGCATGTAACTTAACCGCCCTACATTAGTCTGACGAGCACCAATATATTCAACCATCGATTTTTTTACTATCTGATGGGCTTCCCTAGACGTATTCCTGCATAAAGGACGTATGGGTACTCGTACATGGTGGAGGTCCTGAACAAAATGGAAGGTATCCCTCCTTATTTTAATCTTGCACGCTCGAGTCAATCCCCAAAATCCCCTATTAGGCTTCCCAATTATTAAGGCAGCAGCGGTGGCCGCAGTAGTAGACTTTTCGGTCTCCTGATCAGTCGCCGTGCGCTGTGCGGGTTCGAGTCCCATCCCAGGAGAAATTTTTCTCTTGACTATGGATGCTGTGATTGTCCGTAGGTGGTAGACGGTCTCTGACTCTCGGACGCGGAGGTACCACCCGGCGGATCTTGTAGGCGGAGCCAGAATGTGTGCATGTTGCAATATAATGAGAATCAATCAATAGTAGTGGCTACTGACAAGATCCATTACGCCACTATACCTTGTACGAATTCCAACAAGAAAGAAATGCTATGGAATCATCTAGAAATTTAGTACACGTGTCTGGTGAAGATGCAGTTTCTAAGAGAACATGCTTAGGAAAATGACAAACGGGTAATTTCGGATTGCCTGATAATCCAGGATGCGAGTGATATTCTGCTATCGAGGATGCTGCCGCCAAGAACATGATGAAGCAAAATCCTTTTTTGACAACGCTAGGTAGGCTGGATTCAGTTATATAAACTATTTCGGACAATGTATGGGCGTTAGGATTATTGTGGGAATCTTCGAGATGGGTACCAGTTCCGTGAGAAGAACTTAAACGATTCCATGCACATCTCTGCTTACACCTTCTTTGAATCGGCTAATAAAAGAGGACGAAGAATGAAAAAATGGATTTCGTAACGAAAAAACTGTGAAAACCTTCTTCTTCCACCACTAAATCCATTTTGATAAGGAATTCGATGTTTAGTAGAAAAAATGTCAGACGACGTTCTGGTTAGGAAATTTACGCTAAATGGCGGAGATAGGTCGGGTAATTCTACCAAATCCTCCTTACTGACCATACGTCGCACCCTCTAAAACTATCACCCACATTTGTCTTTACCAGATTTTCGGTAGGGTGAAAAGCTTGAAGACAGAGATTATATCCAACAAGCGTGAGATTAGTTTTTCGCACTTAGAGATGAGGTGTTGCTTAAAAATTAAATATACAGATTGCCGTCAAGACTATCCAAGGTTTAAAGAAAAATGTATCATCTTAAAACCCAAGGGACAGAATCTTCCGGCAGGCCTAACATCTTCCTGTGCTAACTGACGCCTTAAAGGTAATTTCAGCCTAACATTTACAACAAAACTAAGGATGTTAATCTAGTGTTGCAAGTATGAAGTCTCTGGAGATACGAGATAACTCTATTCAATCACTGCCTTCTCGTGACAACCCGCCAGCTTTCTCATATACCGTATCTACCACACTTCCTCTAAATGATGTCACACGACGCCAAAGAAGAAAAGAGAGTTGACAGTTCGAATTAATTTAACCAAGGTGTACCTAACAGCATGATCTACATCATATTTTTCCCACTGCGTCTCGAGGAAAATTGGTTACCAGACACCGACTATGCGAGATGGCTGGAATAATATGACGGCGGGTTGTTTTCAACCTACACGAAGCTAACGAAGAATCTGAAAAATATGCTGAATATGTCGTTGGTTTGTATAATGTCTATTGTGGTTGCTTCTTGTCAATGTCATCCCAAAACTGTTACACTGTTTCTTTAATCCCTAGGCCTGGCAAGTAAAGCTGCTTTTCTAACATACACCGTGTTAGTTTGCAGCCTGAAGACTTTATCGGATAGTGATATCGGTTTAGCAGAAGTCAAACATGATCAAGAGATTTCAGTATAATAGATCATTTTATAGCCCTGATAGTTTTTGTTTAAGCTGCAGCAAAAAGTTCGACATAGACATACGATAGCAGTCGCATAGACACGTTCAAGAAAAACAATTCTAAACTATGGGCGGAGTAAATACGGTGGTCTTAGCGAGTTGAATATGTATTTTAGCACCTCTTTTACGTATTTATAGGACTCCAGGTCGGATCAAGTCACATGTATTACATTTTTTTCCATTTTAATGCCGACTTCCCTGCAATTTTCCATTAATATCATTATAAATTTTGTGTTTGTCTTGATTGTAACACAAATTACACGTGGTTCTGTTCTGTAATGCATGCTTAATCAGATCAAATACATAGTTGTTACAATCGGCCTAATAAAAGTGACTGATGGCCCTCCAAAGTCGTGTAGTCGTGCGTAGTTCATAAAAACTTTGAAACCCAAAATTCGATTACAAAAAAACTATACATTTTTGAAAGTAAGCTTAATTTAAGAAACTTTTGTAGTCTGTAACCTTTCAAGTGATATTTTAGACATCACAAAAAAATTGTTAATTGGTTAAAATAACAGAAAACAGTTGGTTAGGTTCAAGAACAATCCTTTCAGTATTTCCTCGGATGTTATCTGTAGCCGTCGTCAATGCGGCTTTGACCTTTGGATTAACACTTTTTTGCTGGGCGCTTCTGTCGTGTATAATAATTATTTCGCTCGACCTCAGACATAAAGGTCCAATGGTGTCAGGTCTGTAGACCGTGGAGACAAAGGAATAGGACCAGCCTTACCTACAGGTTTGGAAAAGAATTGTCCAGAAAGTGTCGTAGATGTTGGACATAATGCGTAAGGCAGCGGCTGCCCAGGACCAGTTACATGGAAGGAATTATCTGCATTTCCTGGAGACCGTCATCCTGGAAGACAATAGGTGCATCCGATAAAATCGATAGCAGCATATTAGGCAGATAGTTATCTCCATTTACCAGGTCCTGCAATACATAATGTCCTATCCTAAGATTTCGTCCGGTAACGCCTACCCACACGTTGACGCTAAATCGTCTTTAAAACGATCTCTGTTTTCTCTGGTGTGAGTTTTGAAATGGCAGGGTTATTCTATAGAAAACCTATAAATAGTAAAAAAAATTATAAGATGTCATCTTGCGGAGTAGGTAGCTTTTAGGGTGCAAACATTCCATTTTTGTTCCCTCGGATCATTGTCGGCGTCCGTCTACCGAGGGATGACTCAACTACACGTACACGCATTGTGGGTTGCATATGTTCAGTGAAACCGAGGGATCTATAGTTTTCATCTCTGAGTCTCTGAGAATAAAGTTGGTTGTTCGATGGAATACATTTGCTGTGTGGGAAAATCATTACTGAATATGCTGCCAATGAAATATATCTATTAGCTGTGCCTGTCTTTCGGAAGACAGGTTATGCTCAAAGTTATCAATTACGATGTTTTTTAGTTTTTTTATGTTTTCAAAAACAATGAGTGTATAATAAATCGTGGATCCTCAACACATTTTTGAACCAGCTTCTGCAGTCACTTGACGAATCGAGCTGAAAATTTAATCATTTTACTAGTAAGAGGCACTGAACGTATATGCAAAAAATTATTAAAATCAGATAAACATACGTAGGTATTTACCTTTCTTTTGTCACTAACTATAGTGTGTAACTGATCCAAATTAAATAAAAACGTGAAAAACTAAAAATTAATTAACCCAGCTAACAGTTTTCTTTTATTTAGACCGAATAAGAAATTATTTCTATGAATTCTACCATAGCGTTGGAAAGGTAATAAGCCAGGGAAGTTTTATAAATAAAGCTAGGTTCTGAAAAACATTTAGTTTTTTTCGTATTCGAATATTGAGTTTCAAGGTTTTTTCACTTCGCACAATTTTACGACCTTGGAAGGTCATCAACTATTCTTAGAGGGCGTTTGTACGAACTGTTTATGCAATCTGATGAAGCATACATTACACAACAAATCCAAGTATATATATGATATTATGTCGACAAGCAAAAGAGTTAGAACGATATATATGCGCAATTGCAGGGAATTTACCACAAAAACGAAAAAGAATTATGTCCTGGTAACCGTAGAGCTAAATCAAATAGCAATTACCCAAAAAAAAAAGATCGGGTCATCTATCGAAAGTCCTGTATTTCATTAACTTATTTTCAGTAAGATTCTGGAAATTTTGCGATGGCATTCCGGTGAGAGATGAAAACCCTGAGTGCTTGTGTCAACTAAATCCGCAGTCACGTTGCAGCTACTATGAAGAAGCCTGTGATGTCGTTAATTTTTTTCTTACAAAATACATAAGTGACTGAGCTATGTGAGCTAGCTGTCTCTCAAAACATCTCGCATCTCGCTAGGAGCAAGTGGGATCTTTTTACCAGCTGGAGCCCAACTACTGGATGGATGTTGGCATACAAATGCGTCAAAACCAGTTGTGTTATTTCTAATAAGTATGTTAGTTGGAAATACTTTATTCGTATATAGAAACGCAAAAAGTTAAAATACAATATAACATAGTTTGGAGCTAGTGGCAACAAATGGTCTTCATGTTCCCTGTAGCTGCGACAGCTTCAATTTCCACTCTGGCGTTCATTGGAAGTTTTGATACCTGGAATGCTGACCTGGCTGGGAAATCCTTTGTGAAAACTGCAATTTTCAATAAGAATATAATTTTTGATGATACTCTGGCGCTTAAGGGAGCCTCGGTAGCTCGGTGGTTAGCGCATCCAGCTAGCAACCCGGGGCTCGCGGGTTCAAACGTCCGCCATGGACGTTGCGTTGCGTATTGTCTACATATATATCACGCGCGTGGGTTCAATATTAACGATAGGTATATCTCATCGCTGGAGTTGGTTTATTATATCAGGTACCAGCAGATGGCCCTTGGAGTAGTACAGGGTTGGTACTAAGGGCTCGGCAAAAATTGTCAAACAAGGCCTAGTTGCCAAGCTTTGCCTTCCCACTACTACTTCTACTTGGCTCTTAGAGACCTTCCTCACCGAAAGAAATTAGCATCTGGAACCCGACGGCAACCCAACTCGGCATATTCTTCTGGTAGCAAAGTTGTTTCACTGTGGATAACAAGTTACTTACCAAATAGGAAACAAACAGTAAAGCTCAATGGAGAATTATCTAGAGAAAGGACAGTTGCATCAGGGGTTCCTCAAGGCAGCAAACTTGGACCCTTACTGTTCAGTATATACACAGCAGATCTTCCCAGCATCCTCAAATATCAATGGAAAGTCCACATGTATGCAGACGACACGCAACTCTACAAATCTGGTGCAGCGACTGACATCAACAGACTAGTGAGTGAGGTGAATGAAAATCTATATATGCTCTAAGTGAGTGGTCCCTACAAGTTGGTTTACGTCTTAATCCAAGCAAATCTGTGGCGATTGTCGGTAGTAAAGTAATGGTGAACCGTGCTCTCACAATTAAGTCCCAAGATATTACACTGAATGGGTCGGTTATTGATATAGCGGACAATGTCAAAAACTTAGGGATATTAATATACAGCAATCTCACATTTGAATCTGAGATGGCTAGTAAAATTAGTAGCTCTTATTTTAAGTTTAGGAGGCTTTGGAGACTCAAATCTAACATGGATCACGGTTTAAATGTTTTTTACATATATTTAACTGCTAACTTGAAACACAGGGTTCAGGTTTTACAAAACTGTTGTTTACGGTACAACACTATCAACAGGTTTGAACATATATCTCCAGATTACAATAATTTGGGTTATATGAAATACGATTCAAAGGCTGAATTGCAATACAGTACTATGTTGTATAAGTTGATCAAATATAGAAAACCATCCATACCTTTATAACAATTTAACGTGGCTTTCTGATGTTCATAATTTAGCTACGAGAAACTCAAACTTATATGTTATTCCTACGCACTCTTCAAGCAAGTTTAAAAGTAGTTTTAGCTACATGGCTCCAACCATTTTGAACAAAGAGGTTGAACTATTTGACGAAAATTCCATACAACGGTTTAAAAAATACTACAGGCTATATCTTCTTAACAAGCATACATGTGTGGTACTAATACGATGTTATTGTTTCATGTACTGTAATCGTGAATTCCATCTATTATTTGGTGTTATGACCTGATGTCTATCTATTTATATTTTCTTTCTTCTGTAGTTACTTACTTGTCCGTTCATACAACTTAAATGTATACTAGGTGACATATAAATCCGAACACCCAGTTTAAATGGCTGTATTTTAATAAAATTTTGTATAAGTACTTAATGTAGTAAGTAAGTAAACTATAAAAATAATATCTGGATGCACCCTGATGTGCTACGCATTCTCCAACGCGCCTAGGCATGATTCTGATCAGGTGGTCAATGACCTCCTGTGGTATCTCATTCCAGGCAACCACCATCTCCTCTCGAAGTACTTCTAGAGTCTGAGGAGTACGTTGCAAATTGAGCAATCAGGGTGTCAAGATAGGGTAAAAGATGGGGTTCTAGAACTTCGTGGATATAACGCTGCGCTTTCATGTTACCTCTGATGAAGATTAAAGGTGACCTGGAACCATAAGCTATAGCACCCCAAACCATGACTCCAACAGTGTGATGAACATGTCTTTCAACAAAAAACTGTGGATTCCTCCTTTCACCACGTCGCCTTCTAACCCTGGCACGACCATCGTGCATGCCTAAACAAACTCGAGACTCGTCACTAAAGACAATACTGTTCCATTCCTGATCCCAGAGTGACCGTTGTCTGCACCACTCACGGCGATTACGTCGGTGTTCTCGAGTTAAAGGGAGGACCCAGTGTGGCCGGTATGAAAACAAGCCAAAACTTCTCATTCGTCGGTAAACACTTCGCATGCCAATAGGTCTTCCGTGTTCTGCAGACCATTCATTTGCAATGGACCTGGTAGTGGAGAAACGGTCTGTTAAGTCCAATAATCTTAGGCGGCGATCTTCACGGTCGTTCTACGTCGGCGTCCAGTGCCCCTTGCTCTTTGCGTACGGCCTTCTCGAAGCCATGCCTGACAACACCTAACCACAGTGTCTACACTTCTTTGCACTCTAACTGCAATTGCCCGAAAAGAAAGTCCAGCTACCCGAAGTCCCGCTATACGGCCCCTATTAAACTCACTAAGTTGACAAAATCGAACAGGTCTCCGAACTCTAGGCATCGTAACCGATCGTAAAGGATGTCAAGAACCAAAATCCGCCAACGTTGATTCTTTACTGCGGCTGAAATATTTATTTTTAGAGCGTTAGTGAATTAAAAAAAAAGCAGTATAAAAACCGGAATGTCCAACTGATAAGGCTGAACATTTTTTCACTTGTTATTTACAGTAAGATAAATACATTCACCAACTTTTATTAAAATAAAACCATTTAAACTGGGTGTTCGGATTTATATGTCACTTTGTATAGAATGTACTCTTATATACTGATTGTAATATGTTAACCATGTTATTTAACTATATATGTCTGATGTCTATTATCAATCTATTCTTTCACAATTTATCTATTTATATTAATGCCTTCGGAAGGGTTGAAAAATTTCCGCACAATACCCTTTTCTTTTGAGTTGTATCTCAATAAACGTTACTATTATTATTATTATATGTATTCAAATCGGAACGGCAACGCGACATGTTGCTTAACGGTTGACTACACTGCTTGCGCTAGACGGCTTGCAGTTGGCCACCAGTTGATTAAAGATATCATCTTTGGATGTCATTGCAATACTTTAGCTAACAGGTCGACTTCTTAAATAATGTAATTGTTGATGTTGATGAAAACTTATACATGCCGCGTCTGTGTACTTTGCAATGATTCAGATACGGAACGCCCCTTACAACGAATTTACCAGCTGCTTGGCGGTTTGCTTCAGTGCGAACCCAAAAGGAAAGCAACAGTTCCTTACGGAAAGTAAGAAAAGTTCGAAGAAAATTAAGATGTTAGACCCACAGATATATCTCTTTTAGATACTCACATTCTTTATACACGTTATTAAGAGCGACGAAGTCGTTAAGGTCGCTGAGGAAAACTGTCACTTTAACCACTTTTTCGTAAGACGAATTGGCTGCTTGAAGTATCGCTCCTAAGTTTCGTAATGTCTGCCTAACCTCCGCGGAGAAGTCCCCGTCAACTAATTTCATCGTGTCCTTGTCCATCCCGATTACTCCTGACACGTACAGGGTCGTATCCAGGACTACGCCTTGACTAAAAAAACCTTGAACTATAATATGGATAAGGACAGTCCAGAAAATGTTCCACCAATTTGACAACGCTACGTTATGGGGCCGTCAATGACACCGGTGTTTTGGAGAGAAGTGGGTTGGATTTAGGAGGAGTATTGTTTTATAGAGGCCTTAATTATTGAGCTGCCATCTAGCAGATTGTAAGTCTCTCTGCGGCCTAGCCTATTCCTTTAAGTGTAGGCGCTCACCAGAACTTATTTCATATCTATCAAAGCCGAGTGTCGAATTAAGTGCAATTTTGGTCATTGTACTTAATTTACCTAGCAACGGTACATAAAAATGAGGGTTTTGCCCTACAAAGTCTGTAATATTTTGGTACTTGCTATAAGAAAACCGTTGCCCCATCTCTGATGGATAATTAAGGTAGGCATATTTCAAGTCAAATGCTAATTTGGCACGAGGAGTAGTAACTAGAACTCCACCTCAAATTTAAAGTTGCTATTGCCTCTAGATTTTTCACACTCATATTCATTTACATCCGCTCAAATGACCGTTGGGTAACAAGTTCTGTAGCTTGAAACGCCGAGAGGCGAAAATGGAAATTGTGCCTTGAAAACGTCCTAGGTAAAATTCTGAGATAATAATAATAATAATGAATGTCTCCATGACCAAGAGACAGAGTTCACAGCGTGTGCTCTTCCACTGAACCTTAAGAAAATTGCAAAAAAAATAAATAAAAGTCATAAATAAATGTATGAATTATATGTTTTGGTGATTGATTCAAAGGTTAAAAATTGAATATACATATAAACCATACTAATTGGTGTAATTCTTCAAACATTCCATTCGCTTCTTAAATGTGAGGTTATCCACTCCCACAAACCCCTGAGGCATGCTGTTATATTTCTTAGCTATTAGGAAGCTGAAGCGCATATACAGGTGAGAGGGGTAATAATCACCCTAGATCTAAAATATTAATATTGTCTTTAGAAATTTGATTTTTTATACGGGCGAGAATTTATAATCTACTTATTTCTCATATGAATCAATTTAGTTTGTAATTTTTTTTACTAGATGAGCTCATATTTTCTGATGCCATAAATAAATCACACACATGAGCTATGAACAATTTGAATTTTTTTGAGTCTTTTTGAATCGAAACAGCCATAGTATTCTCGTATAGGAGAAAGGCACTAGAACAGTGATAGATCAAGATTTTCACATAAAGATTTTTATCTTCATAATTCAGATATTTTTGGTGAGGATAATTGATCCTGATTGCAAAATGGGCATTACGTGTGAGTATTCCCTATGTCGCAATGCAACAATCATGTACAAAGCTTCATAGCTTGGGTGCCTGAAGAATAAGGGATTTGTGATGATTTTGTATCAGTATTGCACCAAAACCACTCCTGAAACGATTCCAGTTTTATTATATCCAAAGTCTTTTCTAGCCCAGTATAGTAAAAATGAACAGTAGTTATGTTACTCACAGCTTGTTCCGACGCAATATTACCTGAATGGGGCATTGTGTCTGGGTGCGTTCTTTGTTGTGATAATTTTTTTCGTAAGTGTCATTCCAGTTGA